AATGAACGCGGTAAAGGCTCTCGCGATCTCCTTAATGAAAGGGTTTCTGCAAACGCAAGAGTCATGCTTGTTGCATCCTGTATAAATGAAGGAAAAAGTAAATGCTCCCGCTCTCCTCACAATCAGTAGGTAAGAAAGAGGAAATTAGTTTCTTGCGGCTCGTGTATGGAAAGCTTCAAGCGAGTCGTGCTTGTTGCGGAACTCATAATTGAAGGAGAAAATTCATTTAAATTTTCTCGACCGATTTTGTGATTTCAAGTTCATTCGAAGGATTTATGTACATATTTGTGAACCACAGAATCGGTTTTTGTTTTTGTTTTTTTTTTTTAAATTTTCTTATTGTTAAGGGATTATTTTTTGTTTCTTTTTTTTAAACCATATAGAGTAAGTTTTTGGACATTATGTGGCCTTGATGGACCCTGAGAATTTAAGAGAGCTTTTTGCCATCTCATAGTTACTTACTTAGTTTTATCAACCTTCTTGGAGGGGTGAAAGGGAATGTTTTTGGTTAATAAGATGTAACACGTCAATTTCCTCGACCGGATTTTTTGCCCGAAAATGTTTTTGAGGGTTTTTGTAGTTTTATAGGATACAAAACAATGGAGATAAGTGGTTTCGCACTTCAGTCGGTGCGATACGGACATCCATCAAGTTTAAAAAAATGCATCAAGTCCCCGTCACCGCCGACCAACGCGTTAGTCGATCGAATCAACTACAGGTACTATGCGTAGGAGGTCAAAACGCCTTCAATTTTTTGAACGCAATACGGACATCCGTCGAGGTTGTATAGTTGTATCAAGGCGCCGTAGCAAACGCGTCCCATTGTTTATCGTTACATACGAATATAAGTTGAGAGAGGCCAGTCCTAATGCCTTCAATTTTATACATACATATTTTTGGACAAAATGAAAGACGGCGTTTCTCCATTTGCGACGTTGCAGACTTCCTTAGAAATTTTATTTTTCTTTCGAGAAGCTGGTCACCATAAAACTTAAATTCCCCATGATTTTTCGTATTCGATAGCAGAAGATTTGGTTCAAAATTTAAAGTCGTAAATTTGGATTGTTTCCCATGGAGGAGATGAATTAAGAACGGAAATTTTGAAACACCGCAATGGAGATACGTGGTTTCGCACTTCAGTCGGTGCGATACGGACATCCATCAAGTGTAAAAAAATGCATCAAGTCCCCGTCACCCCCGACCAACGCTTTTGTCGATCGAATCAATTACAATATAAAAGTAACCAAACAATTTATTGCTCGAGACATATTGGACGGTAGCACACGTTTTTACGTCACCAGTTCAGAAGATCAATTTCAGTATACTCCTCTGTGGTCATAGGAATTACTGGGGGTTGTACTGGCGCCTCGCCCTCCTCTAATTCCTGCTCCTCCGGCCATGTTACCAAGAAATAATTCACGGCATGCGGTCGGCCTAGACTATACTTCTTGGCAAATTCTTTTGATGAAAATTTCGCTCTTCTCGGATCATTCGCCCTGTTGAGAGAAAATTCGATGAAAACATGTGCTTCTACTCAATTCCAGGGACAAAAGTATTTCATTATAATGCCTACAAATGTGAAAAAGTGAAAGATCTCGTCTATATTTATTAAAATACAAAATTAAATGTAGAGTTAATTTTGAATGGTTTTAATTTTGCCATTTGAATGGTTCTAACTGACCAAATGGGCAATCAAAGACACGCTTGCACGGGCACGCACCGTACATAGCGCCTTCAAAATCGTATAAATACTTCTAACGCTACACCTTTACGCATACAACCGATGCGCAAATTGCTTACACTGCGCCTACGGGAGTGTATTCGTGGAATATTCTGCACGCCTAGTCTGGGCAAAGTTTTGCGAGAAAAAAAAAAAATTCAACTAAATTATTTCACTTTAATGGCTACAAATGTAAAATACTCAAATATCTGGTGTAACAAGGTGTTAAAATATATATATTTTTACGTATATATACGTAAAAGCCGCTTTTATAGCGCTCTCTGGCGCTCTGCGACACCTAGCCGCCAAAGTTCCCTATCCTCCGGAAGCCCCTCGGGGATTATCAATATACATAATTAAATGTAGAGCCAATTTTGAATGGTTTCAATTTTTTCGATCATTCAACTTTTTCTAACTGGCAATTGTTTTGATATCTATTCAAGTAGATGATAATTTTACTTCAATGACAGTGATATGAAATATATCGACGGTGAAAGTCGGCAATCACATAACTCGTTTGCGGTGTCTGAAAATCTCCGCCTCTACGTCATTTTTATAAAGGAGAACAAATTGATATTATTTCTTGAAGTTTTTGCAGAATTTTCTTCGCATTGAGAAGAAAAATCATGACAGTTTTAAATAATTGCCGTTGAGTAGTTTTCCATTTAAAAAATAAAGTATGACAGGAAGTCTGCGACGTCGCAAACCGAGTTAAGTGATTGCCGACTTTCACCGTCGATATGTGTCACCCGATGATATTCAGACGATGTGTCCACTATTTACCGTTATTAAGATAATTACGTGACCGATAAATATTCAAAAACACAGTATGAAAGGTAAATTGGCGAGGAGGGAGAAAGAGAATCAGGGGGGAGAGAGTGAGGGGGTTGAGGTAAAGGAGAGGAAGATATCGGTATCAATCATTCCGGCCGTCCTACAAAAATATCGAAACTTATTAAGAACTATGAAACAGTCAACTAATTTTTTTTGTTTATTTGTTTATGTATTTAAGGTGCAAAACCACACTCAGGCTTACGTAAAAGACATCTCTCATATTCGTGCTCGAAACTGTCTGAAAGAAATTCCTGAAATACATTGTCTCGGCTTCATTTTTCATACACCGCTGGTTTGATGCTAATCTTATAAGAGTGAATAGCCTCGATTTGCATGGTTCTTTTTTCATAGAATATTTTTGCGGACATGAGAGATTTATGCTAATTTTTTGTCCAGTATTGAATTGCACTAGATAGTATTAAAGGTTCTGGCATAGAGAAAATAAACCAAAAATATTTTACCTAGCGGTCAGATAGGTCTCCTCAAAGTGGATCTTCCGCCCTTTTTCTTGCAGAAACAGTTGGAATACAAATCTATGAGTACCTGAAAAATGGAAAGGCGTATTGGTGATTGATATCTCTGAGAGAATCTAAGTGAATTTACGATATCTCTCATATCAATCATAGGCATTACGAGTCGAATGAGAACAGATGGGGTTCCGTTCTACCCTTGGGAAACAAGTTGAGATATATTTGTGATTTCAAAAGTATTGCGGTCTGATTTTACGCCGATTCATCGTTTAAGGTGAATCTCCAGCTGTACTGCTAAAAAAATCCACCACGTTGCGCTGCTAAAATCGGTCTCCGAGACCAGCGATTATTTAATTTATCCCGATAAATACACTAAATTCTAAGATTCACGAGTTCTGGCAGGATATGTCTGGAATTTTTAAAAACAAACACGAACTTTGAAAGTTTAATAATAAAAACTAAAACTTGATCCCAGCTTCTCTTATGGGATGGCTGTGAGTGCGAGAGGGGGAGTGAACGGTGGGAGAGAGATAGCTGTAACTACTGAGAGAGATCGCTCGTGATTGGTTGCATCAAGGTCATTTTGCTTGATCCTACCTTTTTCTGGGATTGAGTTATACAAAGCTTCAGAAATTACTTGTCATATATATCATCTTTTTTAGTGTCAAAAGGAAGAAGAATACCAGAGAACTTATGATTCTTCGATTTTAACAGATTTTACTTTAATTTTCATACAAGCTCAAGGACTCACGTCAAGCTGTACGCACTCTAATGACGTGACCCTCAAAATCAAAACACACCTCTGGCGCCCTCTGCAGGGACAAATTTCTCACTACACGCTGCTGAAGATTCACTTTAATGTGTGTCCTCACAGTATAGTCACATACGAGAAAGAATAATTCTCAGATTTTCTAATTTAAAGGTCAAGAAAGGTTTTAAAACTGCATTTGCATATTTATTTTTCATCATTCAATCACTGCTTCATGCGAGCTGTTCATCCATACCCTTAATTTCATAATCTACATTTAAACGAATAATATATCACTTCTACAATACTTTTTTGGGTTTGATCATAAATGGCATTGCCGTCACAACTAGTTTTTCCGTCATACATGAAACATTTGTTAAAAAGCTTACTTTTGTGTGTTCGATAATAACTCGTATCTAAACATATTTGTAACTAAAATTTTCTTATCCAGATGCTCAATAGAATTTTTAAAAAATTAAATTCATGATTCCGAATTCAAAGTAAAATGCATATATGTTATTTACCGTTTCCGTGCATTGGAGTTGGTCCTATATACTCTGCTATCGTTTGTCCTGAATGCAACCTATTGTCAGGGATGTTCCCAACGATCCAATGCAACCATTCTCTGTCCACCGGGTTACTTCGCGATGGCGCATCAAGATCTGTATGATAATTGTACATAAGTAGTCGAATGAAATTCATAAAACGTATTTTAAAATTATACTTCAAAGAAAAGTGTATTCGCGCCAAATCAGGATTTTATTGCGTGAACTTATTAACCGACAAAGCAGTTAGTTTTACATCTTAACATAGCAAAAGTAACTGCTGTAGCGGTGAATTCAGCGTTTTGTGAGCTGTCACACACTTTTATACATCCAGAATGTTAAATTTGCATCCTTTTTTTGATGTTAAATCTTATCATTTATCTATGCGGGACGAATATACAAACTAAAACTGAAAACGTAGGGACCAAGATGAACGTCATACTTATATTTAATCGCCCTTGGTGGTAAAGGGGAAAATATATCTAAGAACTTCGGTGCCGCTCCTTAAATTTGAGAGCGAGCAAAAAGCATTACATTGTTGCGCTCTCCGAAACATTGCGGCGCTTCTTGTTACAGTTTTGCGCCATTCTACCAAGTGACACGCGCCGATCATCGAGGAAATGTAGAGCAACACATAAAAGAATTGCGAAGCGTAAGTGACTTATTATACGCACATGTGCTTAAAATATAGTATAATGGTTAATTTAGTACACACCAACAAAAATTATCGTGTAGAATGTGGCCTCATCTGGATTCTCGTATTTCCACGCTACTTTCTCTGGAGCGGCATGAGCTGTAGCCGCTTTCAAGGTATTACCATAACAAACGGCGCCATAGCCATCTTCTTCATAAATCACCTAACATGAAGGAAACACAAACGCAGAGAGCTGCCACGATTTCTTTGAGAGAATTAAGAGAATTAACTAAATTAAACGAAAAGACATCGAAGATGAAACAGCAAACACCTTTAACTTGTTTGATAAGTTTCAAAATCTCTTTTCCCATTCCATCATATTCAAGCAGGGTGAACCAACGCTATCGTTGGTCATTTTCTCAGAATATTTCTCCCACGAAATAGAAAAATCAGGGAATTTCTCAAGAAATGACGTTAAATATTTTTCCATTCAGAAAATACATTACAGCAGATGGACATGGACAATGGCGGGGCAAATCAAGATTCGCATATTTTTGAAATTTAAACATAGACATGTAAAAAAAATTGAATAAACAAAAGATTTTTAAATAAATATCGCTAGCTTTTAAAGATGGTTGACTGATTGATAATGCAACGTGAGTCCCGGTCTTGTTATGAAAACGAGTCAACGACAACTTTTTTGGCTTTTTTTCGGTTGAAAATGAGGGTTGTTTCACACTATTACTAGATGCCCAAGCTGCGCCAAATTGAACCGAACCTTACGAAAAACACGTGGCCTGTGGGTTATGTGCCGATATGGTACCAATGTATACGAGCTTTAGAAAAATGTCTACAAATACACTAGAAAAGAATCAAATTGAGAGAATAGTGAAAAATCAAGAGTCAGAGAATTTTTTATGGAAACTTAGAAGTCCCCGAGCCGGGTCAAATTGACCCTACTATCTCTTCTGAAGAGTTACATATGGCAGATAAAGGGGAGAGAGTCAGAAAACGTCAGTATGTTATTACCAAAAACGGTGAAATTTTAAGAAAATTATTATTTATCTTCAAAAACATTAATAACGTAGATAGTACTTCAAAAATTATCCAAATTAATGTATTTAAATGCGGGCCAATTTGACTTAACTTAGGACTAAGCGTATAAAAAAGTTTTGGACATCTAAGAGTTAAGTCAAGACGTTTTCGTTAGACGTTCGTTAGACGTTCGTTAGACGTTCGTTAGACGAAGTCTATTTGAATGTGCTCTTTTGTATTGTCTCTCCGGATTCAGTCGTTAATTTACTCACTTACTTCACGCACATAAAAAGTACCCTTTATAGACTTTACTATCAGCTTAAACAAAAGAATAGAGACATTACAAACCTTTAAAACACGCTGCGGACATTTGTCCAAGGTTGATAGATCTGGAATTATCTTATCCCTGTGAAGCTCATAAGCAATTGGCCCCGGTGTGGTAGTTGATGCGTGTGTCGAATGTGTTGATGTGCTTACGTGCGCTGAGTGATCTTTAAAAGTTGTTTGTCTAGTTGTAGTGGCACCTTGTGCAAAATTTGAATAAAAATTACATCTCAATACAAATATCCCTGCGAGAATGAACTTCATGCTCCACGCATCACCTGATAAGATTGAACACCTGTCAACATACATTGAGCATTCTTTTTGATTGATAACATGTTTTTGACAGAAGTGATTGACCGAGGACAAAAATTGCATTGTTCGATGCCGCGATCATTTTAACGCGAGTTCGAATAATCGCGCCGAACACGGTGCGGTCGGCGTCAATCTTATATCAGCGCCTGCAAGACTGCAGGAATACTTCATGCATTGCGCCAAACAGTGCAGTCGGCGTCAAGCGCATGTTAGCGCCTACAAGACCGCGTGAATACTTCTCGCATTGCACCAAACGTAATGCGAGAGTTTGTTGCGATAACTATGCGACTACGGGTATAGGCACACTGCTGCTAGCTGGATTGAAGGTCCATTACACTGTAAAGATGAACCGACAATTGAGACGAAATTCGACCGCACTCCTTTCCCTGACCTACGCGACGCTAAAATCGCCGCAAAACTAGGTCCACGCGTCATTTCTTTTGACTGTATACCTGCCCGATTTTTACCCCAATTAAAGGGTAAATCTTTATCTTGATTGCAACGATTCAGAAAGTCGGACGATGTAAAAACAATGCAGCGATTCTGAAACTTGAATCACATTAAATTAATTTTGGTTTAATAAAAAGAAAATAGAACGAACGAAATTATCGCGTCGAAATTTGTTATGACTTAATTTTAAATCATTCCGGAAATTTGATCTCCGCTGAGGAAGGGATCGGTCGTTTTCGCACGGTTTACATGTTTTAAACGTTTTGCAGCTTTCATCTCAATTTTTTGTATCAATTTTTACATCACGTCGGGCTGCGTAGTCTATATAAATAAGAAGAGTGAGAATTGGCATAATGACATAAATGAATTACTAACCTTTGAGAGCTGTAAGCCAAATGGAAATATGTGTACTGTGTTGATAGTAAAATCAGGAAATTTTTTAGAATCTCAGGATTTTATTGTAGTTAACGAGATAGAATTTACAAAATTACGTACCAGACGTTTCTTATTTTCAACTGACACATATCTGAGACAAGTGATAGACACTGGACAAGGGTGAAAGATCACTCAGCGTACATAAGCACATCAACACGTACGATACAAATAAGATATTCGTAAGATCGTTCAAATAAGGCATTTAGAGCTTATTTCGAGGAAATACGTTGGTTATTTTTCGAACAAAAAATGTTTTTAAAAGTTACAGTGAAGATATACACGCACTCTTTCAGTTTTTCGAAAATTTAGCGCTTGGTTAAAATTATATATCGTAATGAACGGAAATAAAGNACCGCAACTCTCGGAAACTTAAGGTCGGAGGGGGGTGGATTTGGCTTTAAAAGCGTCTCAAGCGAAAGAGGCTGAAAAATTTGGAAGTCTGAAAATTTTGCGGACATCGGGACGTCAAGGGCTTTAACCAGAGTCAAGCATCGTTGAAATCGGTCCGGTAGAACTCCAGAAATAAGCGTTACAGTGAAACCCCCAACGATTTTATTTATATAGATGAACGGAAATAAAGGAGATGTTTTACAACTTCAATAAATAGTGATACTGATCGTTTTCAAAAATTCCGAATCTTGAGAATTTGATAACTAAGTATTTAATCTCCGATTTTGCATGCAATTTCAAAAATTTTAAAATAAATTTTGGCAGAGGAAATAAAACAGATTTTGCACTTCGCAAAGAAATAAGAATACATACATACATATAGGTCGCTTTACAGCACTCCCTCGCGCTCTACGACCCCTAACCTCCACTGCTCTCTTTCAAACCACAAATCTTGGGGGATTGAGCACCTTAACATAAAAATAGAAAATAAGAAAGAGAAAATAATAAAATAAAAAAATAATAAATAATCTAGAAATAAGAATCAGATGTAAAAAAAGGCGAGACTATACCTGAAAATAATTTGGGTGCCTTTAGTTTGATTAAACGGGATCCATTCTGGGAATTGGTGAGATTAAAAACGAGCTGTCACTAATTCTTCACATCGTCGTCCTCATCTACTAAATCAGACCGATTACTTATGTTTGAAACGTGTCTCTCTTCTTCCTTATCTCCATTTTCTATCATCAACTCTCGTTCAGAGCATTGGAACCAAACCCGTTTACAGTCACGCCTCTTACTTCATCATTCTACCATAACATTCTATAGGATAAACACGCATCAATTTTTATTCAACGAATGCTATAATTATAATCATGCATTTTGGTTGATTTACCCCTTCCCCTCAAAACAAGTCATCTGACCATGCTTAATAGAATAGAAAAACATAAACAAGCGGTTCCTGCACGTAAAAAAAGTATCGGTTGCCTGTAAAGTAAGCCTGAAAAAAGTATTTTTGCCTTCCTCTACTGCGTACTCTTTTCTCGACGAATGTTTGCGTTCGAATAGTCATTCTGATAACGGTAATCACAAAGACAAAGTCAACTTCCCAACGATGTAACATTCACATAATCACTCATAGAATTAAATTACCGTGAGTCTGAAACGAATGAAAAAATACGGATTGTGGGGTGTTGCAAGTTTTGCCTCAGTCACTGAAAGAGAATTGAATATCGTGTGTGACTAAATGTCTTTTGAATGTGATGGCCTGACAATAATGAGAATGCTCAGTTTTTTCATTTGAGAGAAGTGATTGCTTTTCCCATTTTTCATTTAGATTTGGATAATGGAATCGAATAGCTAATATAATGCTAATGTAATAGCTTGGATAATGAATAGCTAGTGCGGATTTGACGCTGAGGCTTACTCGACTTTCAATTAATTATTCTGAAAGGGTGTTTCAAATGTGTTCCCTATTGGCTTTTAAAGTAAAATTACTGTCTAAACTTCTTATAGGAGCTGTTTTGATAAGGGCTAATATTGGCCAATTCTGAGATTCCCGAGATTTTTCAATGTTTTGTAGCGGGAGACGACGAATATGATTACTTTGGTAAGTTATTCCTTTTTTTAAAAAAAAAAAAAAAAAAAAAAAAAAACCACAAAATTAAACATGGTCCGTTTTCTGAACCGTTGTGATTAAGATACATATTTCCCCTTACATTTCGGTAAGAACGTCAAGAAAACGCGAGTCGAGAATGATATGACGCGTGGTTCCAGTTCAGCAGGGCTATTATCACCGCACCTTGCCAGACAGCACAGAGTGCAGAGTGCATGGTCGTGTTATTTTCGTAGTGTGACGCGCCTTCAATTCCAGTTAGCGGCAATATGGGCATCACCTGTGGTCGAATAGTTATCTCACAAACGCCTACCCTAGATGCCTACACTAAATAGCCAATATGAATGGCTACACGCAATAAAAAAGCTATTTATCTCCGATTGAAACGTTGCATACCTACACCCTTATTTTATTATTTAGTTTATTCATTTTTTTAAAAAAATAAAACAAAAAAACAAAAAGAAACAAACTAAACAGCAACATTTCTCATTAAAATTTTCTACAAATTTTCTTTATTTGTTTTAAAAATTTACAGAAAATTTACAAAAATTCTACGCAAAAGCAACTGGGGAAACCTGCGAATTAGAGAGCAGAGCAAGCAAAATTTTTCCCGACCCGAGGGGAAATATATGTGCGAGTGAATGCACTTCAAGTGATATTTTTGAAAAAGAATTTCACTTCGAAGAAATTTTTTTATAAAATTGCACGCTTTTTACCTCTGCACCGATGTATTTTTTCCTACGACGCGTTTTTCTCGCAGAAAAAGCAGTTCTTGATCAAAGGAACAGTTATTCAATTGTAAAAATTGACAACTCAAGATTTTTGTCGTCAGCGCGAGTTTTAAAATGGTCCAATTGGTTTGAAACTTTACGGGATTTTTTTTTCAATGTATTGACGCCCATTGGAAACCGAGGATCTAAATTTTTCCAACCTTCCTTTTTAGTATAAAAATAAGCCACACCCTTTTGAAATACTTTTAAATTGACTTTTTTTTTTCAGAGGGAAACATTCAACGACATGTTTACGATGCACGTTCCCTTAGTATATGGTCTCATGACAACAATGCAACCGATGTTCTTTTCGATGGCTACAGACAAAGGGCTCCATTGCGATACTGGGAATTTTGAAAGACTGTTGAAAATGCATGAAATAATCCCCGATTTGATCAAAGTTGCCCCAGATCAATGTTTACATGTAAGTTCTTATATGCTGAATTTCGTAAAGCTAATTTTTTTTTAAAAGAAAAAAAAATTAGCAAAAAAATGCATTTTACATGATTTTAAGGAGATGAGGGAAGTAAAATTGAGATAATCGTAAATTTCAATTTACTTTGATGCATTGAAACGTTTCGTGTCCGTTTTGATATTAACCCAATGGCCCAAGCTTTATTTTACGATCGTCCAAAAGACAGAAAGGAGAAAGTAGAGAGTAGAAAGTAGAAAGCGAAATTAGGAATTATGGATAGGACCCAGTGAAATTTTTTATACATACTTTAGTGACAACCTTCAATAATAGATGTGAATAAAATGAAATGTTCATTACTGTTCCTGTCAAACATGAATGTGTTTATTTTTAGTCTACTTATTTTGTCTTAGCTCTGTGAGGACATTGATACAAGGTCAGAAGGAGATATTCTATAAAAAATATATCTAGCACTTGGAGCAATTTTTTAAGTTAACACGAGCGCGTAAAGTTGATGTTTTGATCATAGTTTTTCTTTCCTTTTTTCTTCCATCACATACGTGCGCATTTTTTGGACCTATAATGAATGAGAAATGGCACATGTTACTTGATGAGGCCAAATTAAATTGGAATTGTATAGTTTCTGTAACTTTATAGGGAACCAAAATCTTTGAAATTAAACTTTTCATGATATAATTTTTCCCTGCTTCGATGCATAGGTAGAAATCAATGGTAAAGTTTTGAATCCTGGCGATGCTTTAGATTTTATTGACACTTTAGAAAAACCGAATAAGATAGAATGGAAACATGAAAATGGAACTTTTTACTCATTAATCATGACAGGTAATGATCAAAGTTACATTTAATTTTTATAAAATTCTCTTCTAATTTTTTTTTTTTTTTTTTTTTTTTTTTTTTTTTTTTTTTTTTTTTTTTTTTTTTTTTTTTTTTTAAATTTAATTTTCTTTCATAGGAAAAGATGTAGTTGAGTTAGATTTAAAAACATGGTGATCAATGTATTGATACTTTGTCAACATTTCATTCAGGGTGGTTTCAAATGCAACATATCCGAAAAGGATGCGCAGTGTACAGAGAGTACACGAGTATACATAGACGAAAAGTGTCCTTAACTAGAGTGATATACAGGGTGTCTCACGAAAAACGAGCCACCTTGAATATCTGCCGAACGCTTCGGAATTTCGAAAAACGGTAAAAGACGTGTTCGTTTATATCGAGGGGGACACCTTTTGGCGTATTCGACATTTTCCCAAACCGCGGGAGGGGCGCGGGGCGGGGGGTGCCCCACCCGTAAGTCGAACTTTTCAAATGGCACCCCTACTTTTTTATTTCAGAAATCAATTCTACGCAAAAAAACAAGCCACCCTGTCCAAACCGAATGTAAATCGGACAATTTTTCAGTGATTGACAGAGTTTGAAACATTTTTTTCATGCTCTTTTCAAAAATTTCCCACGCCCAATGGAATTGCTGTATCAAACCAAACTCTCCGCCAAAAAAATTCTTAAACATAGCACTTTCGATAAAAAAATAAAAAAAATCTGCTGCACTCGAAATCTGGAGCACGCGGAGCCCTTCTTTTGCGACATTAAATTCGTTATACCGAACATTTCCGAGGGGCGCTCATCGGGAGGGAGTAGTAAGTTTTAGACAAGAATTATTAATCTTTTTTATGAAGCATAAGAAACCGTGTCCATGAAGAAACAGTTAAGTAGAAAATCAACGCACCGCGGAAAAATAGCGTCCTCAGAAGTATCAAGGTCCGGCTCAAGTCATTGACCCCCCC